TGTAATACTATGTGACGGAACGAATAAATAAATAATAAGTAAGCGACACGCCTATCTATCTTATTTTACATGAAATGTAACTACTTATAAACCTTTTATAATTTTAAATATATATTTTTTGAAAATACTCCACTAGCTCAGTTGGTAAGAGCAGTGGCCCCGGTGTGGGAACAGAGCTGGTTTCAGTCCAGTCAGCTCAAAGGAATTGTTCTTTGTGTTATTATTCAATCTGTGTGTGTTATGTTTTTTTTATGATACCAAGTGGCGGGGCGAACAAATCGTGCGCCTGGTGATAAGCGTAGCCCATGCATAACAGTTGCAGTGTGCCATTCAGAGCTTCAAATTGCAAAAATCTTATGGGCACTGTCACTGCGCCCATTACCCTGAGACATAAGTTCACATGTCCCATGTGTCTGTAATTGCAAAAGCATCCTTACCCTGAAATACCTGGCAGAAATTTCCTGGACAAACTCTTTCACAAGGAGCTTCTGCTACTAATGTATTATACATATATTATGTTTTCCTGCTAAGAATAACATCACCTTTGAGTGATAATCATAGAAAGCGCCGAATGTTAAACGCGGCGTATTACTAGACAACATTGTCGGCGATCGCTAAACAGCTAGATTTAAATTTTTAACCTTATAGTCTTTATAATACTGACCTCTACTTCATCAAAGCAAAACTTGTGACAGCATATTACTTAATGGAGCATTAAACTTAACGGACTCGTGTGCGAATGGGCGAAAGTCCTCAATACGCTTGCCGAGCGCCAACTTTAGGTTTTTTTTTAAACACGAAATTGCCATAAAAGGTTTTGGTCGACTTATTCTAATCAATCATTTGAAGTTTCTTAATAAGCATAATCTAATCACGATATCTAAAAATAAACAGCAGTCCTGCAACAGTTCAATTTACCCCAAATTGAAATGACACGACATGACAGTTGTCAATATCTGTCAAACATATGACGTCACGGCATTGTTCGGAGCAGTGATGTGACAACAGGATTTTATCGAATCATGTCAATCGGTATTTCCGAAGAACTGGTTTCTGTTAGAAAGAACTATTATGACATAGTGATACCTTGGTACGTACTTATAATTTACTGTATAAATTATACTTAAGTTATTACACTTCTCTTCAACCAAACTGTTAAATCGATTTAAACACAGAAGGTTATGTTGTCGTATAAGGTACACTATTTTTATTCCAATTTGACGCATGATTCAAACTAAAATAGTTCTGGTGTTTTTTTTTTATTTTAATTAAAATACGTTGCTCTGGTGCTCAAAGTGCAGATAATTCCCTAGTTTGAGATCAGTAATATGGTATGCTTGTCAGGCACATTATTAGAACTTATTTTTTTATTACATTTTTTTAAGTGACGGGACGAACAAGTCGTGCCCCTTATGGTAAGCAACACGCCTGTCCATTGCAGTTCCAGTGCCACTCATATTTTAAATCGCAAAGATCTGAGGGGAACTGCCACTGCGCCTATCACCTTGAAACATAAGATGACAAGTCCCATGTGCCTGTAATTTCACCAGCACCCTTCGTCGTTTAAAACTGAAACCCAGTAATGCTCACATTCCTGCTTGGCGGCAGTAATAGGTAAGGTGGTAAATACTTCTCTGGATGTATTATTAATAAGGAGCTTCCATTGCGACATTTATAAACAACTTGATATATCGAATTTTTAGGTTTTCTGAAATAAAACTATTTTTTCGAATTGAAATCGGCCATATTAGTTTTTCATTCAATCACCACCACAAGAGCCCTAAGCATTGTTTTTTTTTTAATATAACGCGAATGAAGTCCAAAAAAGTAGTTTGATTTCTAATATCTTAATGACGCAAATAATTTGTTTTCCTTAACTTTTCGAATTATCAGAAACATTAGATATTTTTTTTAAAAATAACAAATTTTAAACCGCATTTTTCTTTGTTCGAACTGAGTGCCTAATTGATCGATTTACCTTAAAAACATTCGTGGGTGAAAGGTGAAGAACCTGGATCTATGACGCAGAAGCAAATGTTTCTAATGATCTTTTAATTTACTTAACATATATACCGACCAATACGTACCGTTTCGATATACCCTCCGCATCATAAATAACGTAATCGACTTAAAAAGAAAAGTTATTAGCGAATCTGGAATTAGCAAAACGAGATCTACAAACCCTTATAAGTGGTTTTTTTATATCTTATTTAATTTTAGTTTTATTATTAAGTAAAATTAGCGTAATCGACATTTTTTATATAAACAAAAACTTTAGCAGCCAATACCTCGAAAGATACCAAAATGCAAATGCGTTAGTTATGACAAGGAGGGCAGCGACGGTGCAAGCAGAGACTAAGAACTTAAACTTGCTACCATCCTGAAATATATTGCACTTACATTTGTTTAGAATGTGATAATTAAAGCGTAAACTCTATATCCGGCTCCGGTTTTGACATCAAACCAATGATCTAATTCTATTATGTCTGTGAGCTGTCACTCGTGTAGTATTACTAAAAAAAAAGTCAAAGCAAGTTCCTTCGTAACTAATAAAAGAGCTACCAATTTTAGTTCAAAATTTTCGACAGTTAAAAAATCCATCGTTATTAAATAAAATTGAAAAACCAAATGGTTTGACCTACAGCCTCTCAAGTCAAGACCGGGGGTTCGAATCCGAGCGAAATTTAATTTGAAATTTGCCAATGACTTTTCAATGAAGGAAAAAATCGTGCACGTCGAAGTAGGGTCATAACCCGCGTAGGGCCAGCGTGGTGGACTACGCCCTAAATCAACGCCTGAGGGGAGACCCGTGTCCAGCAGTGGGACATGAAAGTCGATTGATGTTGACAAATCCATCATTCTATTGTGGTATAGATAAATACTCGAACATTACGCAGCAATTCAACTAATTTCAAAAAGTATTTATCAACAAAGCTTTCTTATTAAAAATGGCCGCTTCAAACTTCGTCTCAAGTAGGGTAAACATACCAATTGCGCTACACAACTTAACGAGACCGATAGTTATTGTGACTTCGAAGGCCAACACCGTATTAGTTTTACTAAGTAATTGTATACCGCGTTACCAATTTCGACATGAATACACGTATTTTTTTCCATCGCTCGGAGCGATCTCGTTTTCTCGAAAATAGATCTAATATGTTGAATATAATTAATTTTATACCAAGTTTGATCGATGTGTGTTCATTTTTTTTATATATATCATTATTTTTAAATTACCATGCATTACGTCAGTCTAGGAATTTTTTTAAGGTTCCCGCGAATTTTGCATGTTCGGATACTTGTTAAATGAGTTAAAGTTGTTTTTTTGGCTGTTCGTTTCATTATAGAGTAATTTTGTGGTAATAACAGGGTTCTAATAGAAGTAGGATTAGCTAGCGGCATTCAAATATTGATGTAACTTGAGTTATATAAGGTGAAATTTCAACACTAAAGTAAAATTTGACGGTCTTGGTAATCTAGCGGTCAACACTCTGAGTTCAATTTTGTAAATTCCTGGTCTGGGTATCTGGGTAGTTCCCCATAGCACAGGGAATTCTATAGTTTTGAGACCAGAATTTAGTGTGGTTGCGTGGCACATTATTATTTTAGAAAGCCGTATTCAAATACCGGCGAAAGTTTTCATTTGTCTGGTTATCTTTGGTACAATATACCCGTAATTTATTTGTAAATTTTAAATATCTTAATTTGTAATACAAAGATTCGAATCTGCTGGACTCGAACCAGTTACTCATAGCAAAGCGTAGCAGACGCTATGACAACTAAGCAACTAAGCTAATAACTAAAACTAAGATTTGCTACAAACACGTAGAAAAATTCGTGAGGACCGTTGCTTAGTTGGCATAGCATCTGACACGGTTTGCTAGGAGACGCTGATTCCAATCCAGCCGGATTGAAGGGAATTTTTCGAATCTTTGTATTAATTATTATAACAAACTAGTGGAGTAACTTCTCAAAAAATAATTTAATGCCATGGTGGTGCAACATGATATTCAATAAACTTAAATTCAATAGCCTGTTTATTGACAATATGAATGAGTCTAACACTCACATCGTAAGTACCAGAGCTATGGTCTTTTTTATAGTACCAAGTGACGGGACTTACAAGTCGTGCGCCTGGTGTTAAGCGACACGCTCATCCAAACAGTTGCAGTGCTAGTCAGAGCTTTAAATCGCAAAGATCTTAGGCATTGCCACTGCACCCGTCACACGTTGAAAAGTCACATGTGCCTGTAAGTCTAATGGTTCAACCTACCGCCATCAAACACGAAGGAAAACATCGTGTAGACTCATCATCGAAGCACTCATCTGCAAAGTAATTTAATGATGTATGCGTAGCCTATGCCCAGCATTGGGACTATATATAGGCTAACTTATGAGTACCAAAGCAACGCAATTCAAAGTTAAATAATCATTTATTCCATAAGTAAAATTTTTACACTTGAAAACGTCATTTTTTCAAACTCTAGAGATTGCTCTTTTCAAATAAACTTAAGTGCTATAGAATCATACTTGTGTGGAATACATATGGAATATACATACATCTTTATCTAAACGTAGGCTACAATTTTGTAATATGACTTTTCAATTAAAATACTTTTAATATAATTTTTAAATTTAGGAAATGATAATCTTAATATATGCTCTGGAATCTTATTCTAAAAACTCTTACTCTAGGGTATTTTCTCACTTTAGTTTAAGTCCCAGAACTCTCTGACCAAAACCAGTTTAGGTAAAAATAATTTTCATCCACCGTTCACAGCATAAACCTTTAGACCCGCGAGGTCGTCGAGAAGTAATAATTACAAAGAAATCATGAATTTACCCAATTGAACTGTATGATAACTACTGTATCAACTAGCATAACAACTTATTGAGCACAATATTTACCCATTCCCTTACCTGTTCTCTATTTTTTTTACCCGATATGGTCGCAACCAGCTTATAACAATTTTAAATGTATAATGTTCTTTTTGTTCCAGATGCCGTACCATTGGCTGACTGTTAAGACTGACTAAAATTAATTATGGAGCAAACTAGGAAATTATAAGTCAATGAAGCTTTTTCTTAGGTGAGAATTACTTGTAAATGTAGCTGATTTATACAATTTTCGTTAAATTATACGACATTATAAGAAAGATATATCTCGTACATATCAATGTCTTTCTAGAATAGTGGCCCATCTCAAAAGCTTCTAATTGATCAGGAATATGGTGTAAAAAATCGACGTGTCAGCCGTGTCATATTGACAAATCGTAAACCATACCAATGTAGTCGTGTAATTATATTTTAACCTATGAAAAGCTCGGTGTCCCGTTCACAAACAAGTTTTGCATTTTCTGAATAAATTTTAGTAATAAGTCAAAAAAGAACTATTTTGTTTTGGGCCACATTCTCGAAAATCATCGATACGTATTATACCTTCTTATTCTTCTATGTGTGAAGTATGGTCTAATTTGGTCTAATTTAATAAATATTAAAATGTACTTTCCCAGTTCTTACTAACACTAATTTTTGAGTTATTTTGTTACTAACACTATGGATTTAGAGTCCGAAATAAATAATTATGAATAATATTATTATTATTATGAAACCAATAAACTATATTTACTTAATTATTAATACAAGGATCGAACACTCAGAATAAATTCCTTGATAAATTCGAACCGACGTCTTCTAGCATACCGTGACAGGAACGAACCAGCGGATCTCACGAATTTTTCTGTGTCCTTGCTTGCTCCGCAAAGATAGCGGACCTTTGCAGTTCGGTCCGTGGCTTATTTGGTATAGTATCTAACACGGTATGCAAGAAGACGACGGACGGTTCGATACCGGCCGGATCGAAGGAATTTTTTCTGAGTGTTCGATCTTTGTATTAATAATTATAACAAAGTAGTGGAACAATTTCACATAAAAATTATTGAATATCAATTTAATAAAATTTATACATATTTTCATATTCACATAAATTACATTATAATATCTTCATGAACAGGGTAAATACTATCTTTCAAAAAGCTCTAAAATTACTTTTTTTTCATGATACCCTTACATTAACATACCCTAAGTTGTGATGCAACATAATCAATACTTTATTATTTGCCAAACAATGAAGAGAAAATTTAAATTTAAATTCAAAACATTCCACAGTATTCAGCTAATCTTATCGTCAACAAAGACTATTGTCTCCTGGTCACATTGTTTCAATGTATATCGAACCAAAATGAATCAGTGTTATGATACGAGGCTAAAATTTTATTCAACACACAATTTGATTGTTTATAGTAAAGCTATTGTTTGCAGGTCGGTTTCGGTTCTGACTCGCGGGGGAGTCAAAAAATTGCAATGACTACTGCGATGGCCGCGCACCAAGAATCGATACATGAGAGACTACAGCCAACCAATGAGGAGCCTTTGTACATCCACCATGGGACACCATGGCCAGAGTCTTCGGAACATCAAGAAGACACGAGCACGGACATGTCCCCTTATTACAACATGCCCAAAAGAAACAAAAGAAAAAACTTCAAACCCCGCTGCGCTCCTAATGCAACAAATTTCTCTGACGATTCTAATGGCCCCCGTGATGACGCTGCTAGCCCCTTAAACGGGAATGACAGGACATCTGACCAGGAAGAAAATGACAACTATGCTAAAATAGGAGTCAAAAACTTTAGTGTCCTCAAAGGTGGCGCAGTCGATCTAAGTAGGAGGCTAAGTACTGACTCCAATGAAAACATAGACTCTAATTACCAAAATAGGTTACCGGACGACAAAAAGGTGGACTCCTTCCAACGTTCCTATTTAAATAGCTTACAAAACCAAGACGTTGAAAGAGACCAAACTGTATTAAACTTTAGTAGTTTACAAAATAAAACTTTCTGTGCCAAAAATCCTTTCGCAATTTCACAGTTAATAAAAACAAACTCACCTCCAAGGAGAAGGGAGTCAGATTCCGATGAGGAGAGTAAAGGGCAGGATATAAATGCAAATGAAAGAATAGATAATCAAGAACAAATGGATACAAATGAAGGTCAACAGAACGGAGACACAAATAACGCTACAAATAAAATTTTAAGAGACTACGCGATGAATACTATGAAAGAACTTCTCGGTATTTATGGTTTGTCGTCGAATGAAGTAGCTGACGCTATAAGTGGGCAAATCCGGGCGTTAGAAGCACTTCAAGGTGAGGAAAGATTCTGTATACATATATCAATATAAAGATTTAAAGTTATTGTAAATTTTAAACATCCATTTGACGAATGATGTCATATTCGTTGAACTCAACTGTTTCATGTTTCGTTTATTCGATTATAATGTAAACAATTTGATAAAAGTATCAAGCTCTGTACTCCAGTGTCTATCTCTATTACGTTTATATCATGACATATCACTGCACTTAGAAAATTGTACACACTTAAGGTGGATTGAGTACTTATCACGTCTTCAGATAGTTTTGTTAATGTAGTTCTTTTTTAGGTAAACCATTTACCCAACTGCCTTTAAGTCTGAAGCGAAGACACGACTCTGGAGATGGTACAGACAGAAGCCTCCGTAGATCGTCGTCAGCCACGGAGGATGAAGGATCTACCAATATCACTCCTCCGAAAACACCTGATAATGATATTGAGGCATCTAGGTAAGCATTGGAATATGGCAATGACCAAAATCCACGACCTCAGTGGACTAGAAAAAATAATATGGTAAACCAACTTTTCTAATGTTTCTAATGATGAAATTGGAATAAAAGCTATTTATTAATTGGATACCCAAGATACAAGTAAACTATTTTACTTAGTTTAGGTATGACCTAGATTGACCTGCACTATTAACCTTAATTATTGTTATGTAAACATACAATAATTTCACTGTTTGCGATGGTCTGCCGCATATAATTGGTGTATGATAGATACCTGCCTCCGTGGCCGAACGGTTACCATGCTGGACTGCCACGCAAGAGGTCCCAGGTTCGATTCCCGTGCCGGGAGAAATATTTGTACGCCCCACATTCTCGTGAGTTTGAGTGTAGCTTGTGTTGTCTATGTGTGTGTCCATGGCACCCGCAATACAGGGTTTCCCTAGTGTGGGGCTATGAGTGTGCACGCATTATTATATATCTAAATAAAAAGTTATTTAATAAGATTTATCTATTTAGGTAAAATTTTTATACAGAACAAATTTACTTTTATCTTTATTAATAAGATTTTTTTAAATTTTAGACAAAGAGCACTTCAAATCATAAATCAGCAAACGATGAGGCTGTTTGGTAGAACACAAGGTCAGGAGGAAGATGGAAGTGGCTCTGATGATGGAGACCAGACTCTGGACTTGAGTGTTTCAAGGGACACAGATGGACAGGTGAGTAATTAGAGAGTATGTAGTAATAAAAATAAAATAAATAGACAGTTCAATGATACCTTTGCGCATATTCAAAATTTTACATATGAAAATATATTGTTCCTTACATACGAATCGAAATCTTTTAACACATGATATGAAACACGCAATTTCCCTTTCGACTTTTCAACTAATTAGCCAATAAAAACCAATCTAACAAATTTGCGTACATTTCTCGGACCCTGATTGGTTATTTATATTATTGTATCTAAAACAATAGTGCCATTAGGTTCGTGTAACGCCCACAGAACATGAGAAATTCATTGTTCTGCGGTAATGCCCATTAAAGTAGAAAAATAATTGTGTTACAAATGCAATTTATATAAAAAATGACACATAACAATTTCCGCATTTAAAATACGAGCAAACATGCTTGGAAATATACTCCAATTATTATTTAACATCAAGGACACACAATAATGGAGTCAATCGCGAAGAATGTGGCAAAAAAACTGACAAAACACTTTGTTACACACAGTATTAATAACATTTGGTATTAGAACAATTACTTGTAAAGCTGATTAGTATTATGTTTTATTTTTGATCTTGTTCTGTGATACGAATTTGTTTTATACTATTGCATTGTATCGTGTACGATTTAGGTTCTCCTTGAATAGTTGAAATGGGATCGAATTAAGCTGGAGAGAAAAACTTCATGTCTGTGGTATTAAAAATACTTAATTCGTGTCTCGTAATTTGTCAAAACTGCGTTTGACTTTGCGGCTTTTAATTGTACCCAATGAAATCATTTAATAACTTACATACTCTTTGCAATAAGTTTAATCTTTTAAGTATACTGGGAAAATTTGTATCCTTTAAGTTTTCATAGGCTTTATCAATAGTCTTGGTTATCCGGATCATGGAAAATGCCGTATCTGCCTGAGCCTCTTTTCATCCCGCTCTTTTGACTTCCTACACTTCTTATAGGATTGGTCATAATAATTAACGACTACAGTGGTCTTATCCTCTCTAACCTATCGCCTCTCAATCAGAGGCTGTGAGTTTGATATTTAATTTGAAATTTACCATGAGTTTTTCGATAAAGGAAAACATCGAAGGTTCACAAACTTCAGAAAATGTGAAAATGGACCCATCCGTTTTGGTCCAGTGTGGTGGACTATGGCCTATACTCTCGCCTGAGAGGAGACCCGCGCCCGTAGAAAGACGTATAAATTGAATGATGGTGATGATGATGATGTGGCCCAGCAGTTAACAGTTATGGGCCCTAGATAAGGTCAGGGTTTGGATTCCCGGTGGAGAGTAATGTCTTGTAGTTAATTTTGGTGCAGTGAGAACAGCCATTTTAGCTTTACACATTAGTGTGATCTCTCTTTCTCAAAATAATGAAAACCGGTTCGGAGAGGACGTCTTCTTCGATTCGTTTTTAAATAAAGGAAGTAATAATAATAAAAACATCTAATAGGAACAGTCGACCACATCTAGCGCTGGCAACAGCGTATCAGAGTTCGAGCAGCAGAGCCTGCTCATGAGGAAGAACCTGGAAGATCTCGCCAATTTACAAATGCAGGTAAAAATACGTAATTGAGTTCTTAGGTGTTCGCGTTACACATTGGAAGTGAAGCTACTTTTCGGATTCACATGGCGCATATTTGTCTCTTCAAACAAACCTATATTTTGGACCCTTTACAGGTTGCATGGACCTGTCAGTCAGACGTAACCATGAGGCCTGTAAAGAGCCCAAAAATTTGGTATCTTTGAAAGAAAAAAGAAATACAATGTGTGATTTAGATTCGAAAAATTTGTAATAATTTTCAAACATAAATCTTCAAACGACATAGGCACACAAAGACAACACAGTTTGTTTAATTGTTATAAAAGATAGGATCTATTTGACAAAATAAATATACTGCACATTATTGCACATTCATGAACCCTTTATGAAAGAATATTGGTGTTTCATTAATTTGACTTGCCTGACTTTACATAAGGAATTTTAAATTAAATTTAAAAAAACCAGATTTGCGGAAAAATATAGTTTACTTAACATAATGCAAATAAAATCATGTTAGTTATAAAGGAATGTATTACAGGGTTTCTTCCAAAAACAATCGCCGATGGACGCTGATGACTCGCAAGAGAGAAAACTGCAATCTGGTGGTAAGTACCTGTTGGCAACACTTACAAATAATAAGTAAGATTTTTTAATTGTGGCAACACTACAAACGTACGTGTATTTTGTTGTGCACGCTAACCTAACCTAACTCTGTACCATTATTTGTGAGCTCTTGTTTTGACATAAGATCCAAATACGTAATAGCTTTAATTTTACTAAAGAGCTACATTCAGTCATCAATAAAAGAAAACTCAGTACACTACAACCTATTAGGTATAGTAGGATTAACTGCGATAAGGTACTAACTACTGCGAAGTATACAAAATGTTAAGGATTTTGTAACAACATTTATACTTATTACGCAAGTCTTAATCTAATAAATAATCATTTACACCTACTTTACTGTCATTCATACTTTTTCGTATTGAATTTAGTCGATGTGTTAAGAACCATTAAAGATAGATCTTGTCCTCGAAACATTTTTAAGTTCTATGTATTTATTTACTGTATTCGATGACTTCCATTGCTGTGGGGATAAAACAGCCAGGTTCAAATGGGATTGGGCGTGTTTCTCCTCGGGTGCCCGAGGATGGAACACGACGGCGAGATAAGGGGGACGGTCTTGATATATTTGAAAAGGAGTGGCAGGAAATCGCCAAAGCAGAGGAGTTTTAGGGGAGACCATGGCCCAGCAGCGGAACACAATAAGTTAAAAAAAATTAAAACCTCGAAGATCCTGTGATGAGCTAAATGAGGAGGCCCCGTTTTCGATTCCCGGTAGGACCAATATGGGAAACAAACTTTTCTAAATTGGTCATGATCTTAATGTTCTGGGTAGTGCCCCGGAGTGGATTCCGCTGCTCTGGTACTCATAGTAATTACATAATAATAATATGTGCCAGACAACCACGCCAATTGTCTGGTCTCCAACTAGGCAATTCCCTGTACTATGAGTACCAGAGCTACGGAATTCATTCTGGGGCACGTCCCAGAACATTGAGACCAGAACCAATTTAGAAAAGGTCATTTCGCAAATTGATCCGATACCGGGAATCGAACCTGGGACCTCCGCATCCAGAGCCCACTATATAAACCATTAGGCCAACGAGGTTGTCGTAGTACAGGAAATTTCCAATCGGTGAAAGCGTGATCCACGGATCGTGTAACCGCTCTGAAATAGTATGAGAATAATAAAATGTTACGTCTTGGTAACTTGTAATTAGTAATATTATAGAGTTACTTCATAACTGTGCCATTTCATGTTACGTAGAAACGCTAAACTGGTGTCTAGGTATCAATTAGAGCGTTCATGTTGTCAGTTTTCCATCTTACGTTAGGCCTGAGATAATGCTGAACGATAATTAACACGGTTTCTGAGTTTAGCACAGTTTTGTTAAGATTTCATTTTGTCATCACGCATATCTTCTTCTAACTTTACGTAAATGATTTGAAGGCTTCGTTAAAAATGAATCCTCCTCTATTGGCATTATATCTCTTCTTCCATTACTTGTGGCAGTAGAGCATGAGTTAACTCCGCCTTCCCCTTTCCACCATCGGGTAACTAGACGTAGGATGTAGCTCCACCCCTATGTTGTGGACATTCTCAAGATTCGCACGAAACGTTTCACTTCCACAATTATAAGGCGAACTGCTATGGAGTGGAATTCCCTGCCTGCAGACTTGTTCCCTAAACGTTATAAGTTGGACCTTTTCAAGGCGAGAGTGAATAGGCATTATTTAGATGTGCATGCTACATCGTCGACCTCATCGTCACTTTCGATCACGTGAGATGGAGGTCAAATACCTATAATCACTTCTTCTTACTTTACGTAGACGATTTTATGGCTTTATTACGTCAAAAATTAACCCTTCCCTATTGGTATTATATCACCTCCTCTATTACTAGTGACATTAGAGCATTAGATAATCCGCCTTCCCCTTTCCACCATCGGGGGACTAGACGTGGACGTGGTTCCACCCCTATGTTGTGTACCCCTACATTAACAAGATTTGCACGAAGCATTTCGCTTCCACATTTATATGGCAAACGGCTAGGGAGAGGAATTCCCTGCTTGCGGACTTATTCCCCGAATGTTATAACTTAGACCTTTTCAAGGCGAGAGTGAATAGGCATTATTTAGGTGTGCATGCTACATCTTCGACTTCATCGTCACTTTACATTGGGTGAGATGGAAATCAAATGTATTTAAAAAAGCTTCTTGTGGAACAATTTGTCCAGCAAAGTACTGTCACCTTACCTATTTCTGTCGCCACGCAGTAATGTGAGCATTACTGCATTCCGGTTTTGAAGAATAAGGGGCTGGTGAAATTATGCGTACATAGGCACAGATACTCAAACGCAACTCAACATAGCCCCGCACTAGGTAAACCCTGTGTCGCGGGTGCTATGGACATGTATGTACATAGACAACCACAAATTACACCCAAACTCACGAAAGACATAAATGTAGGCCATATAAATATTTCTCCTAGCCCGGGAATCGAACCTGGGACCTCTGCGTGGTAGTCCGGCATGGTAACCGTTCGGCTACGGAGGCAGTTAAATAATTAATAGGAATTTTCAACTTGTGTCTCAGGGTGACAGGACAGCGACAGTGCCCCTCAAATCTTTGTGATTTAAACTTCTGCGTGGCACTGCAACTGCTATGGACAGACGTGTCGCTTGCTACTGGTTTATCCCCACTTTAGTAGCAGTAGCCCTTTGTGAAAAAGTTTGTACAGGGAAATACTGTCACTTTGCCTATTTCTGCCGCCAGGACGTAATGTGAGCATTACTGCATTCTGGGTTTAAAGGGTACAAGGTGCTGGTGAAATAACAGGCACATGAGACTTGTCAATGCAGTGGTAGTGCCGATTTGTACGATTTTAAGCGTGTTGCTATTACCTGGTTCACGATTTTTCATCCCGTCACTTTGTATAATAAATAAAAAGAATTTCCTTTTTTATCCCGCCAATATCACGTGACGATCTACGTCAGTACAGATACCCCCTGTTTACTCGTCATTTGACCCACACAAAGACTCTACGGAACACCATGGTCTTTTGAGCGGTGATAGACTCAAACCTTTTTTATAACTATCACTTACATGTCTAAGTACGGTCAGTGTAAGCATGTGTGTGTGTGTAAACCTCTGAAGTGTATTCCAGAGAGGAATGACTTCCCAACCTTCCCTAATAGAATATAAGTATTAACAAGTTTTAAGTATGTACTAATATTTTTATGGACCTGAGGGTGCATTAGACGCTCAATTTACAGTACTACGTATGGGAAAAGAACCGAATTTTAATAGTAGTATTTATATCACGAATGTATGTACGCTACACAATTGACATAAAGTTCATTATGCTTTGGTTACAATAATTCGCTTCCATTCCATTCCGCGGCGATGTAAATTGAGCCTTAAACATACTTCCTCGTTACATTCTCTACGAATCTGCAGAAATTATAGCACAAAATATTTTATTAATACGAACTGAAACAAAGTTTTTCCTAACTCTATCTAAACAACCTTTATAAACAAATGACAAATCAATATCATCTTGTACAAAGTACTAATTTAAATACATATGATCCGCACGTGATACATTTTGAATCATGTAGAATGAAACGTGTGTTGACTATAATTTATACTATACTACACTCCTTAATATAACTAACGTAATCGATATTTTGAGCAAAAATTAGTTATTAAGATCTCAGAGATCTGCAAAACGAAATCTACAACTCACTTTAGGTGTTTAAGTACTTATTTAATATCTTATTTTGTTTCAGTTGTATTGTTTAACAAAATTGACATTTTTACGTGTCAATAAATCTCTGACAATATCTTAAAAGTTACCTAAATGCGACTACTGCATATTAGTTATGACAAGTAGGGCAGCACAGTGACGTGTATTGAAAAACGGCAGTTACAGTATCCGAGGTTATCTCAAAAGACAGTAAAATACAAACATTCCTTCTACTGTCGACAAACTTTCACGAAAGTTCGTCTACAGCTTCGCTCTCATTTCTCATGCAATCACCATAACATCACAGAAGCAAAACCGAAAAGTAGCAGCCAACACGACAATAAAAAAATCAGTAAACACTCTTTGACAGTTCAATGTCCAATATCAAATATTTGTATGGAATATACATTAAGACTCCCATACCTCCGATCGCATAAATTAGACGTACACAACTTGTCTATAAGGTCTTATAATTTTCATACAAAATGTACGTAAAGTTTGAGACAAGTTGGTAATATTAGTGTGTTATTTTTCACAAAGAAGTGCAAGAGAGTTGGTGTTTTAGGGAAAGATTTCTGGAAGGTTTGAATAGTCATTATTGGTGATTCTAAATTGTGTTTGGTCGCATCTCATTTGGGGGACAGTTACACTCAATATAACACCTGTTTTGTTATTGACTTTTGCTTTGTGTAATGTGAAACATTTGTACTTAATTACAATGTTCTAGTTTTGTACCATTACCCACGATTTAACTGCCAACGTCTTCATTGGAATAGGTGCCGAAGGGTCTCATATGAGGAGATTGTATGCCATAGTAACACGTAACACATTGGCATGCCTTCAAAATTAAAAAAGAAAGAACATCACATAACGAGTTCTTAGGTTTTCGCGATTGTTACATATAGGAAATGAAACTATTTCTCCGGATTTAAATCGCGTATATTTGTTTTTTCAAACAAATCAACGTTTCGGGCCCTTTACAGGTCCCGTGTTCATGGTTAACTGAGGTAGTACAGTCATCAACCAGTTAATTATTAATAATTAATGCGAACTATATTTTTTTATATACCCTATTTATACATTATACCCTATTTTTTCACTAAAGTTACAAACAATAATAAATAAATACCTTATTTTCATTTTGCAAAGAAACATTCCAATTTACGCTACTTTTTTTTACAAATTATTTTATTGTAACAATATGACTTTTTCAAACAAACTAAAACAAATATACGCGACTTAAATTCGGAAAAATAGTTTAATTTCCTATGTGTAACAATAGCGAAAACCTAAG